GGCCTGTATGAACTATGCTCTGAGAGTTGTAAAGATGAGCTCAAATTATATAATCAGAGAAAGAGTCTCTTCTTCATTTCCACTAATTAACTCTGAAAATGAACTGGATTGGAATAGATTTCTTGATTGAAATGAAAATAATTCTTCAAAGAAAATGTCTTCTCAACTGTACAGACTATGCTCTCTGATTAAAAATCAATTTTCTTCTTCAAATGTTGAAAAAGTTGATCATGAGAAGTTATCTCTCTGAAGAGAAAAGCTTGAATCTCTTATAGACTTATAAATAAGTGAACTATCAAAAGAGAAAGAATATGAACAGCATTTAAAGAGAATTTCTACAATCAATATAAAAGACTGTATTCTGGTTTATTCAGATGACTCAAAAAATGAGAACTTGAATAGATTAGACACAGGCATTGCTTATACTGAAGATAATATTAATTTTATCTCAGATTTCTGGAATCTAGGCTCTGAATGTGAAGTCTTTGATGCTGAACTATTTGCAATAGTGAAAGCTTTCAAACTCATTGAAATAAAATCTCATAAAAGAGGAAATTGTTTGAAAGAGGCATGGATATTCTCTGATAGTCAAGCTGCTTTAAAAAGACTTAGAAATAGTCAGATTCATAATAGTCAAATGAATCTTGAACTGATCTTAAACTCTGTTTTGAAAATTCAAAAGAGAAGAACATCAAAGCTGATAATTCATCTGCACTGGGTTCCTGCTCACATGAATATTCATGGTAATGAATTGGCTGATTCAGCTGCAAAAAAGGGTGCAGAATTAAGCAGATCTATTCAAAAAATTGTATTCTAGTCTTTTATAAAGAGAAAAATAAAAGAATCTTGTTTAGACAAGTGGAATGAAAGCTGGCAGAAACAAAAGAAGAGTATACATTATTCAAGATTTGAAACAAAACCCAAGTGGAAATCTTGTTCAATTAAATGTAAAAAGAAAATATTCTCATCTATAATACAGCTGAAACTAGGACATGGCTATTTCAAATCTTATATACAAAGATTTGATGATAGATTTAACTCAATAGAATGCTCATTCTGCAATACAAATGAGAATCCTGAGCATATTGTAATGCACTGTGCATTATACAATAGTCTCAGAGCCAGATTGAAAGAGAAGTATGATCTAAATCAATTAAATATGAGATTCTTATTCTCAACTGAGACAGGAATTAAATACTTAATAGACTTTCTATCAGAAACTCAAGCAGCTACAAGAAAATGGCTAAATTCAGAATTATCTGAGTATGAAGAGGAGGAAATTAATCAGATATAGTCTGTTAAAACAGCTATACACTCTCTTTTAATAATTTGTTTTGTTATAGTCTCTCTTTACTCTATCTTTTTCTTTATCTTTTTCTTTCAATTTCTTTCTATCTATTTATTTAATGTGTCTATCTTTGAGACTGTGTTCTTTTTCTCTTTTCTTTTGTCATGATATTGTCAAATGATTTCAAAGTATTAAAAGATGTTAAAACACTGCAATTTGTAAACAGTTTTTGTATTCTGAGCTGGAATTTTCTAATTTTGCATATCTGAAATTGATGAATGTATAATAGTTAACTTTACAGACATAGAAAAAACCCTGAGAACTAAAGTTCTCAGGTAGATGTCATAGTCTCTGACTGCATACATCTATAATTGAAGAATAATAATAATAATAATAATAATAGAAGTAGACTGACCGTGTGACCGTGTCTGAGACCAGGACCAGATTTTTTGATAGTTTCATTACCAATTTGACCGATCTCATTACACAGTTTGAACATTAGATAGTAGTCTCATACTGTCTCAGTGAGACTTACTGTCTACTTTTATCACATTTTCCAAATGGGATCATGATTTCCACTTCTCAATTTAAATTATTTTTATTGCTTTAAATGACTTTAAATCTCATTTGAGTGTTATCAAAAAGCGTTACTTTTTAAAAAATTAAAAATAGTCTAAAAAAAACCTTAAAATGTCTAAAAATAGTAACTTTATGCCAAGAATGGGACTAAATGGGACCAAATGGAACCACTTTCTCATTTTTTTCAAGTCATGGTTTCATTTTAAGATCTTATATATAGTCACTTTGCATGTTTTTTTAATGACTAGTCTCAGCGGGATTCACACCAAGAAATGTATGAGACCAGACCAAATGGGATCAAATGTGAAATTCATGGTTTCAGCGGCCAGTTTAGATAGAAGTCATTGTTACAGATATAACAGAAATAATAAGAGTGAGAGAAGAGATAGATACACAAGATTCTCTCTTTCTTCAGCTGCTTAGTGCAGTATAGATAAGTAACAGTGTCAGTTAAAGACTGTATCAGAGCCTCTTTACAGAGAGAAGATAAAGAAACTATAAGACTCTGCAGACTTAACTCAGCAGCATCTCAAGCAGAGCTCAGGCATATTATAAAAGAGAAACTACAGATTGAACTTCTCACAGATACTGTTTCTCAAATCAAGCTCTCTCTGAGATTCTCTCTGAATAATCACATGAGATTATACATCACTGTGTTAATTGAGAGAAAGAACAGTGTCACAGCAGTAGTGAGAGAGATAGAAGAAGAACTGATCACTAATAAACTGATCAGTAGAAGAGATGATATCTCACTATAAGACATGACTTCTATCACTGTAACTGCAAGAGAAGCAGAAGAAGAAGAAGAAGAAGAAGATGTAATAATAAGAGCAGTACTCTCATAATTTATTGACATTACTGTCTTCATCTTCAACCTGACTTTCTTAACAGTCATGAAGGCTGCAGTCATATTATGAAGACATTTAATCACTAGAAAGTATCAGAATAAGCCTCTTATTATCTTTCAAGAACAATACTCTCATGCACTTACTATTACAAATGAGAGAGAGAGGAGAAAAATGTGTCATAAGAGAGAAGAGATCTTTTTGAAAAATTCTACTACTACTGTTAGCTTTGCCTCTAATAGACTGGCCGCTGAGACTATGAATTTCATATTTAATTTCATTTGATCTGATCTTATACATTTCTTGATATGAATTCTGCTGAGACTAATTATTAAAAAAACATGCAAAGTGACTATATATCAAATCTCAAAATGAGACTATGACTTAGAAAAAATAAGAAAGTAATCTCATGTAATTTCATTTAGTCTTATTCTTAGACTGACTGTGTGACCGTGTCTGAGACCAGAATCAGAATATTTAATAGTCTTATTACTAATTTAACTGATTTCATTACACAGTTTTAAGATTATATAGTAGTCTTATACTGTTTCAGTAAGACTTACTATCTACTCTTATTACATTTTTCAAATAAGATCATGATTTTCACTTCTTAATTTAAATTATTTTTATTGCTTTAAATGACTTTAAATCTCATTTAAGTATTATCAAAAAGTGTTACTTTTTAAAAAATTAAAAATAGGCTAAAAAACACCTTAAAATGTCTAAAAATAGTAACTTTATATTAAGAATAAGACTAAATGAGATTAAATGAGATCACTTTCTTATTTTTTCTAAGTCATGATCTCATTTTAAGATTTGATATATAGTCACTTTGCATGTTTTTTTAATAATTAGTCTCAGTGAGATTCATGCCAAGAAATGTATGAGACTAGATTATAAATCAAATGTGAAATTCATAGTTCTGACAGCCAGTCTACTCATTCTTGACATAAAGTTACTATTTTTAGACATTTTAAGGTTTTTTTTAGCCTATTTTTAACTTTCTAAAAAGTAACACTTTTTGATAATACTTAAATGAGATTTAAAGTCATTTAAAGCAATAAAAATAATTTAAATTAAGAAGTGAAAATTATGATCTTATTTGAAAAATGTAATAAGAGTAGACAGTAAGTCTTACTGAAACAGTATAAGACTACTATATAATCTTAAAACTATGTAATAAAATCAGTTAAATTAGTAATAAAACTATTAAATATTCTGATTCTGATCTCAGACATGATCACACAGTCAGTCTAGTCTTTAAAACACATCACTTTTACGGAGAATTTTATATATAGAATGAAATATGATAAGAGATCTGTAAGTCACTTATTAACTATATTTTTCACATTTCAAATAGATTAGAAAAGTGAAGTTTTTATAAGAAAGTGAAAAATAAATTTATATAAGAATATATTTAATTATTTCATAAGTATTATTAATAATTATTATTAAATTCTGATTATATAAGTAATTACTGAATCAACTGAATAAGACTGAATTTAATCTTCAGTCTCAGTTTTATTCTGATTTTTAAAAAATGATTATTTTTCACTGTTTATTCTGAGAAATTACTCTTATTTCACTATTCTTGAATTAAATCTGGTCATTTTTCATATCATTTCTGAAAGAAATAATTCATTTTCAGATTTTTTTAATGCTCAGTCTGGGTGGGACTCACACCAAGAAATGTATGAGACCAGACCAAATGAGACCAAATGTGAAATTCATGATCCCGCCGGCCAGTCTACTCCAGTCTATATAGGTTGTGTGTAGCCAAGAGCCGTTAACCCTATTGGTTACATGAGAGATAGGAATAGAGGTAAAGAATCCGCGAGGAGCGGGATCTCTTACAATTCTGGTTTTGATTGATTGAATTGCTGGGGTTGTGGAGACCCAAGCCATAATGTTCCACGCTGTTTGAGGATCAACTGGCTCCTTGACCAGGGGAAGATCTATAGGGATACCCGTGGGAAATACTATGTGAGTAATGTTGTCAATCGCGGCCCAAGGATTCCTCTCAATTGATATGAACCATATATTGCCTCTATCGAACGAGCTCTGAGCCGGCATGCTGCACAGGATCCCTCTGTCTCTGCTGTCCCTGTTCACACTATCCCTACCTGCATTCCGAGTGTCCCATCTGCTGTCCCTTTCGCCTGGAGATGAGAGTGATTAACAATTGAAGGATCTTTGTGATTGATGATGATGATGATGATGATGATGATGAATGTGGTGTGAGATGACGGATGAGGGTTTCCCGGCCCCACGGCCATCAAATGATTCAACCAATCATGAGCACCCATGTTAGCCACAACTTCCGCAATTACCACCACTCTTACAAAAGGTATTAATGAGGCTGTCTGCTACAGATATAAACAATATGATGGAAGGCAATTCCTTGTCAATCTGCACAGTGTTTGTCAGTAGACCTTCAAATCTGTCACTGTTAGAGCTGGCTTTGTGAACTGTGAAATCTACTCTATTAATTGCACAGTAATACTCTAAATATACGTATAGCGAAGTAAAAGATTAAAAAAAAGGAAGGGAAGGGAAGTATCAATTTGGAGATCCGCAACCCAAAAAGGGAGGCAGGAGAAAGTGGAAGACAATGGAATACATTAAAAAAAAACCTTTAGAAAGAAGAATGAAATGAGAAGGAAAAATAAAAATAAAAATCGGTATTGCTGCAAATTTTTCTTGGGTTTCTGATGTGTGTGCGCGTATGTATAGAATACAAAAACAGTAGTTTCAGGATTTTCTCTCTTGCTTTATTTCTTTAGTTCACATTTATCACTTTGTCTCTTTCGTTATTTTATCACTTGCTATTTCTATCCTTCAAACGTGAAGCTGGCTCCGACCTTGTGCGCGGCCTGGTTCAACTTCTGGGTGTCGAAGGAGGCACCAAGACCGAGGGTCACACCAGGGCGGAGGAGAACGTTGTAAGCCAATGCAGCGATACCGCGGTCATTAATCTTGGCCTATATCAAAAGAAATTGAGATTGATTAGCGGGAACTTGCACAGACAAAAAGGCTAGCAAATATTTGTAGAACATGCGTGGAAAATTAAGCGGGGAAAGAAAAGCAAAAGCTCACTCACCTTGGCGAAGGAAGAGGGGTCAAGTCTGTACTTGCTGGCAACTTCCAAGCCAACAGTGTTGCCGACCTTGGAATCCCATGTGGCCTTGGCACCAGCCTCGACCTGCGCGTTGACGCGATGGTAGTAGCTGGCGGAGAAGAGGGAAAGGTTGTTGGAGGCAGTGATGGCAGCAGAGTATTCGGGGAGACTGTAGGCGACGGCAGCAGAGTACTTGGTGATAGCAGCCTTCTGCACATCATAACCACCCTCAGCACCGACGAGGAAGCCTTCATGGCCAAGGACAGCGTCGAAGTTGGCAGTGGGGCCCTTGAGGAGATCGAAGAAGGCGCGGGCGTGGATGTTGGGCTGCTTGAAATGGAGGTTCAACTTTGCGCCCTTGGATTGGGAGCTGGGCAGATACTGGGTAAGAATCTCAGCCTTGAGGCCCTTGGCGATGTTGTTGTCCAGCTCGAGCTTGGTGTCGAGGGAGTTGGAGGTAGTCCATGTCTGGGTCAGGGTGAGGCCTGAACATGGGTGAAACATTAGCCTTATTGATGAATGATCCGCGAGTCCAGAAAGGGAAATAACGAAATTGAGGAGATTGGAAGGGTGATAGCGCATAAAAGCCAAATTAATCTTCATATTCCGGAGAGGTTTCGGCCCTTCCTTAAAGGGGGACAATGGCTTTCGCCGGGTATCAGGGAGGAGGAGAGCTTTACCAGTTGGCGCATCAACGTATTTGGCTTCAAGCTGCCGTTGAACCGAAGTATCAGTACCCCCCAAATATATGAGACCTCCAACGACTCCCAAACATGAGAAAATCGGTTCGCTAAAGACATGGCATCGAACTTACGGAGCCATTGATGGGACCCTCGTGGGCGGATTTTCCCTTGACGTTGAATGTAACGCCATTGGGGGCCTTGGATTTGACCTCAATGTTGGCTAGGGAGAAGGTCAAGACATCTGTCAGCACGGGATTCTAAGACATCATTGAAGAACAGGAAACGGGTAACAGTACCGGCGCTGGCGTGGTAGAAATCCTTGTTCAGGAGCTATATATAAATAATCTCAATGGTTAGTGAGGAATTGCGACGCTGGTTTGGTGGTCAAACTTTTAAAAGGGGTGGTGGGTGGGTGTGAGGAGTGATGTTGTTTGTTTTTGCATACATCATTTGCGGCCTTGGCAATGTCACTGAAAGCAGCTGGGGCAGGCATGGTGGGCTAGAGAGAGGAGGAGAAAGAAGAGGTATCAGGCACAGATATAAAAAGAAGCAGAAGATGCAAGCAAAGACAACTTGAGATATGTATCCAGAAGGTGTTGAAGGTGTGATTGAGCGAGGGTCAGTCAGTGGTTGGGGATAAATCAGCTTCTGTTTCTGGCAAAGTTTGGCAACGGAACAAACAAAGCGCCGGAGCAGTGTTTATCCGGCGCAGTGTCGGGAAATTCAGGACCATGGTTGACCGCGGCTGCTGATTGGTTGGACGACTTGTCAGGTACGGATGGGAGAAGTAGTTAGACTCAAGGTTGGTAAGTTTAGTACGTGAGCATTGGTGACTTGAAAAAAATCAAAACGCTTTCTTCTAGAGTTATCTATTTAATAACCACAAAAGAAATGACATATGTATATGCATTGATGAAAACGAAATGGTACCCCCAATGATCTATGCGAAAAGGAAGCGTAGTACCAAAACAACATGTAAACAGTAATCCATGCCAAGCCGAAACCAAAAACCATTGGAAGGAAGACAAGGAAAAGGGAAAGGGGGAAAAGGTATTTATATAAGGCGTAGAGAGGGCTAGGCAGAAGGAGAAGCAGAAACGGCGGCCAGAAAAACAACCACATAAAAAGAACCGAAAAGATAACACGGGTTGTTCCACGAGAGTAACTATGTATGCCATGTTGCATAAATGTTCTCTGCCTATCATAACTTGGTAGACCAGGTGCATCATCTACCTATCCTCTATCCAAAAACATAGGCTCCGTGGTTCTGCCGGGTAGCATTTTATGATCCGCTCTCATACTTGGCAATATGGGTGGAAATCGCACTGCAGACGGGACGATTATTAGCACATATGTATAGAAAAGTTAAAGGGGGCAGAGGGGAAAAGAACAAATGAGATTTTACGTACCGTCCACTAGGGTCCGTCTGCTTGGACCATTTTGGTTTCCACCGCATCACTGTCGATGCGCAGCATGGCGGGAAAAGCTCGTCGAACATCATGCGATACCAGTATCTAGAAGTCAGGCACTCCCAGTTAGCATATTCGAAAAAAAATTATTTCCATTCCCACCAATACGCCATGATGCAATTTGCCTGGCTAGGTAATAAGGTTGTTGAACATACCCTTCCTTCGTATCTGGAACATCATCAGCCCACTCCGGTTTGGGGTTCTTCATCATCTCATCCGTAACATGCAACTCCGCATTATCCTTCAACGCATCAATCCAGCCATACCCGACACCGTCGCTAAACTGCTCCTTCTGGCGCCACAGAATGCTATCGGGGAGGTATGGTTGTGCATCCGGGTCGTCGGAGGTATCAAACGCCTTGCGCAGGATATACTTCTCGATCCGGTCCTTAGTGATCATCTTCTCCTGCGGGTCGACGCCCATGGATACCTCGAGCAACTGCTTGTCCAAGAACGGCACGCGCGCCTCCACGCCCCATGCCGACGTGGACTTGTTGGCCCGCAGGCAATCAGCGAGATGGAGGTTTTTCACTCGGGACACGGTCTCGTCGTGGAAGGCTTCCTTGCTCGGGGCGGCGTGGAAGTAGAGGTAGCCTCCGAAGATCTCGTCACTGCCCTCACCGCTAAGCACCATCTTGACGCCCATGCCTTTGATCTTTCTGCTCAGCAGGTACATAGGTGTAGATGCGCGGATGGTGGTGACATCGTAGGTCTCCAAGTGGTAGATGACGTCAGAGAGGGCGTTGAGGCCATCTTCAAGAGTAAACGTGAAAGCATGATGCTTTGTTCCGAGGAATTTGGCCACTTCGAGAGCGGCCTTGGTGTCCGGGGCGTCGGGAAGGCCGATAGAGAATGAATGGAGCTGTGGCAGGGTAGTCACGGTGCATAACTCGTTGGAATCGTCAATGCCGACCAGTCCCGAGCTTGAAGACGCTCCGTTAACCCCGTTAGTCGCTGCGGCGCTAGACAGAGCTTGTTGTCGTAGCGTCTCCCGCTGCGCGATGGAGGCCACTAAACTCGAATCCAACCCTCCAGAAAGGAGGACACCATATGGAACCTCCGCCATCAATCGTTTCCGCACCGACTTTTCCAGAGTCTCACGGATAAGTTTGTAGTCAACGGGAGTGGACGGGACGTTGGTGGGGTCCCACCATTTGGGGTCGAAATATCTGGTCATAGTGTTGCTCTTGGAATCGTATACATGGCCTGGAGGAAAACTAATAATCTTGTCGCATACGGGGTGTAAGCTCTTCAGCTCTGAGGCGAAATACACCGCACCGGGAGTTTGCGATGACCAGCCCTGGTAGAAACTAGTGATGCCAATGGGGTCTCGCGCAGCGACGACTCTGTCTTCCTTCTTGTCAAGTAGGACCCACGAGAACATGCCGTCGAGGAATTTAGGGGCGTCGATGCCATGTTCCATGTACTAACATCGGTGGTAAAAGGAAGTTAGCGCAAACCCGCAACATCAGTTGAAAAAGGAGAGGGGGATTGCAGGAATTAGGACTCACCAGTGGGATAATAACTTCGCAATCTGAATGTGTCTTGAATTTGTATGGAGTTTTCAGACCCTTTCGTAGGATTCTGTGGTTATAAATTTCGCCATTGACGGCGAGGGCAAGGGTGCCATCGTCGTTAACCAGAGGCTGGGCGCCAGAATCAACGCCAACAATGCTCAACCGCTCATGCGCAAGGACTAGAGAGTAAGATAGGATGCCAGGTCAGCCAAACTCGCTATGGTCGGTGGAACGGGAGCTTGTCCCTGTCTGTGCGCGGAATACTGACTTGTGTTGTTTGCAACGAAGTTTCCACCTATAGTACAGTACAGAAGGGTAGATATATGTCAGTCACCATGCACAGCAGTAAAAGTTGATAATAGATACTAGGGTCTTTCCTCCTCCTCCTCGTCCCTTCCTCCGCCACTGTGAGAACACTGAACACGGGATGGATGTGTGCGTGGGGTGACTCACTCCAATCGGGACCACGATGGCGTACGCTGTAGATTTCAAATAACAAGCAGAATTTTTAGCAACACGGTCCATTTCCTCTTTATACTGAAATATCCAAACTAAAGAACCACTAAGCCAGGAGGTTGTGGTGGCAGGGGGAGGTTGAAACCACTCACGCTTTCGCCATGCGCAAAGCCGTAGGCTTGAACTTTTGCACATCTGGGTGACTGCATTTGTAGAAGATCACGTCAGTATGAAGCTATCCTTTTCTTATTTTTCGTTTTCCAGCACTTTGATTGTAGAGATTCCTCAAATGGAGGGATATGTGCTTTCATAAATCCCTTTTCACTGAGCGGCAAATGGTCGGGCTGTAGTGTACATACCAGTGACAAGCAAAAATCCCACACATGACTTGACTGGTCCGTCGTGCTGCTTCTTCTGTACCGGAGAGCGGATGGAGAAAGGTTACGACACTCAAAGAAGAGAGCGAAATTCACGGGCCTGAGGAAATTTTTTTTAAGGCGAAGAAAGAGAGAATGAATTGGCCGGATGGTATTAAGTAAAAGAGGAAAACAAGAGAACAGAGAGCAGAGAGATTTTATTTTATTTTATTTTTTGCGCGGGGTGATGGACAGAAAAGAAGCACGGGAGTCACATAGCACGCGAAGTCGGAGGCGGGGTTGTTCAACGTGGCCGCCCTCCTCCCTCTTTTTGCTTCTTTTTTCTTTTTTCTTTTGTGTTTCTCTTTTTTTTTTTTTTTTTTTCTGATTTAGCCTTTTGTACGGCAGTCTATGGTGACAAAAGTGTCAAATGGCTGTTTTTTCAGCGTAAAGGCTTAATTCCACATAATACTGATTTTATAGTCATGCACCAATTACACTAGTCTTAATGTAGTTAGTATATTCCTGCATATGGTTTAGTCAGACTTGGCGTTCAGACTGAGCTCCACCCCACAGATCTCTTACCCTGTAACCTCCCACCCAATGAAAGCCCTCAGGGATATAGATATAGAGTTACCCTTGTGTATAGAGCGGGTATAGAGAGACCCTCTGGGTAGAGGACCCCTGTGTATAGAGCCCCCGGGTATAGAGACCCCTGAGCATAGAGACCACTGGATATAGATTCCTCTGAAGACTCTGAGTACTGTCTTAGGTCAAGAGCCCTCCACTGATGTGGGTCATTATTTCATACAACCTCCAATGAGGAGACCTTGATTGCTAATACAATCAGTATCATTAATGTGTGCTCATTGTAACACTAGTATAAAATACCCATTTGTCACATTTGTCACTTATAGACTGCCGTATTTTGCCCCCCTAAAACGTTTGAGTCATATGGCGGGGCTAGGGAAGTTCGCTTTTAGGTTTCGTTCTCCTAACTAGCTGATAAGATATGCTTTTTTTCCCGCTTTTTTGCCTCTCTCTCCTTCAGGCACGACGCCAGTTGTTCTGCTCTCTTCCAAAAAATCCAAAATCAATATATTTCTTATCTTTACCCTTGCAATCTCAGCCCATGTTGCCCCTGGGATTAACCCATGTCGCAAATGCAGTCTACGGCTTGCCAACTCAATTATCCCTACCTACCCACCGTCAAAGCTCAACCATTAGCAGCTGTAAGCGCCGATTTTCGGCCTCGCATTCTAAAGAAGAATGTACAGGCAAGTTTTAAAGAGTAGTAAAATGAAATGGTTAGTTAGCTACAACGCGCGCTCGTTGTGTGTAGTCAGACTACTTGGTGTAAAATATGAAGTACTTGAAGCACGTACTCTATACCTCACCAGTTCACCTTTGTAAGGCTAGGATATCTTTGATTTTCCTCCAAAAGGCTACCCAAGAGAACAGAACTTATTACTACGTCGAATGCTTTCTCGTGAAATCTGGAGTAGCTAATCCAGCGTACGTAACAAAAGAGAAGGAAATAGGAGAAATGCAGAGAGAAGCGCATTGTGGGGTGGATTTCAAAACAATAAATCATGGAAGAAGACAAAAAAAGCTCAACACACACGGAGAGCGGCAACGCAAAATAAATAACAACCAAGACGCCCTGCTATAAACTAAGAAAAGCACACTTCACCCAACACCCCAGGCACTACCGTCGGGAGATCGTTGCAGCCGATTTACAATGCTACAAACCCGGATTCTCCCTGACAACTTGTCTCACTTTCTTCTCGTACGCAGCGCGGTCCTTCTTGAATAGGGTATATGCTTCAGCCTGGGCGGGCGACTCAGGGTTAGGGTCGTCTAGAAGATCCTGGATCCCGAGAAGGATCTGTGGGATGGTGATCGCTGGTCTCCAGCCTTCCTCTTCGTTTAGGATGGACAGGCAGACGGTGCCGGAGGGGTAGACGTTTGGGTGGAAGAGTGGTGGAACGAATTTGCCTGTGGCCGAGTTAGTTCCCAAAAAAAAAAAAAAAAAAATCCCATTTATCATCACTCAGCAAGACGAGAAGTTATATTGTTGAAAGAAGGACATACACTTTGGGGGTTTCGTAGGATACTCTGTAGGGTGTATAACCAACAGCAGTTAGAAATCGCTTTCTTTATATTTCATTTCATGCAGAAATATAAAAGGCAAGCGAGCGATGCTGATGGAACACATTACCTTCTGGAAAGATAACTTCCAACTTAAACAAGCCCCCCGCCCATATGGTCTTCTCTTTACCGGGAATACCACACTCCCAGTACTTCATGTCCTGCGCACCGGCCGCATTTCTACGTGGCTTCGCATAGAAACCGTAGGGATGGTTTTTTCTCCATTGTTTCCTGAAGCGCAAAAGAAGCAGGGACATATTCGTCAGTAAGAGAGAATCTTACAAAAGACCCTTACAATATAAAAATGGTAGTCATGGACTACGCCGGACTGACCGTTCCTCTGTTAGTCGATTTATACAAAGAGACATGGCTACAAATGTCCTGCGTTATGAAAGACCAGACTTAGGCCGGAAATGACTTTCCACAAGGCTGTCAATTGGGTTCGCAGACTGAGGACGAAGTAAGTAGAAATAATATGGGTTCGATTTGGAGATGGAGGTGCCGCTTTTGTCTATCGTGCACGGGGTGGCCTGTGAGGAGGTTAGGCGGAAGGGGAGAACCAAGACAACTTGCAAAGAAGAAGAAGAAACACAGAGAGAAGAAGAAGAAAAAGAAAGACAAAGAGAAGAAGAAGAACTGGAATAAGAAGTGAGGGTTTTGTTGAAGAGTGAAGGTTGCAGGCCCAGAACGTGACGTCATGTGACACAGGTTAATGTTGGTGATTACTACATCTACCCTAATCACGTGCCACCCAACATATAGTTTCACCTTAGATAGATTACACATAGACAACAACATTATTCTTCAACAGGTTATGAAGCCCTTCTATAAATAATCACTGATAACATGTCAATCACATCTTCACATATCATTGAATGTGTCTAGATGTCTCTTTGAATCTATGATTAATTTGAGATCCGGTAGAATGTCAGATTTGATAAAGAAATACATATCAGTGTGTAGAAAATGAAATCTGAAAGTACTGAAAGTATAATAGAGAATAACAGTCAACTTGATAACATCTACAATAAATAACTATGAGAATGATTTTACAGATCTGCTTATTCACAACATCATCAGAATGTTAAATTATGAGAATAATCTATATAATTCACTCTCTGTGAGTGAGATAGCTCATATAAAGTTGAAAATAATGAAACTTTAATAGGAAATTGAATGAGTGAAAACTAGCAGAGTAAGTAAGACTCTGACTTATACTGATAACACTGTCAGTGTGAATCTGACACAGTTTCTACAGGAACAAGAAAGAACATCTGCTCTAATGAAGGTTTTAAGAAAATTTCAAGATCAGATTAAGTATATCAGAAAATCAATTACTCTTACAGACTTTGAGAACTATTTATTGTGAAAGAAAGAGATCTTACTGATTATAAAGCAATTTCACACAGTTGATATTATTGATAAGAAGTAAATCAGTTCTATGAAGAATACAAGTAATAATATACAATGATTTTGAGAAGAATATAATATATAGCTGTATAATTATATATGATTCATAATTACTTCACAGATGAAATCTGTCGGATTGAGTGTCACGGATGAATATGTTGGAGACATATGAATCTTATGTGTATCAAGATCTGCTTGTTATATTATCCATGCCCATCTAATATATCTATTTCAGACAAAAGATAGAGCTATTTATAGTAAAATATATGTGCGAGCCAAGAGAGCTAGCATAAGCGAGTATTAGACAAGCGTTGTAGTAAGCTGATGATGATGATGAGAAATATTGTAGTAATACGATGTTGATGGCGTTCAGTAGTGTATAACCTCTTTTTTCCTGACAAAATCTCATTTTACAGTATCAAAGAAATCTGAGCTATTCATCTACACTCTATGAAAGATTATAGAGAAGAATTTCACTGAAAGACTTGTTATTAGAAGAATAAGATTATATAGAGAAATTATAACTCTGTCTGTTAAGACTAAGAGCTCTGATTGAGTCTTTATCAAATATTTAATTACTATACAGACTGAATATATATATCTAGAATTTAAGGCTGAGAACTACATGTTTTTTATTATTATTATTATTATTATTATTCTTCAATTATAGATGTATGCAGTCAGAGACTATGACATCTACCTGAGAACTAAAAGTTCTCAGGGTTTTTCCTATATCTATACAGTTAACTATTATACATTCATCAATTTCAGATATGCAAAATCAGAAAATTCCAGCCCAGAATACAAAAACTGTTTACAAATTGCAGTATTTTAACATCTTCTGATACTTTGAAACCATTTGACATGACAAAAGAAAAGAGAACACAGTCTTAAAGATAGACACATTAAATAGATAGATAGAAAAGAATAGAAAGAAAAAGATAAAGTAAAATAATGAGAGACTGTAATGAAACAAATTATTGAAAGATAGTATATAGCTGTTTTAACAGACTATATCTGATCAATTTCCTCCTCTTCATATTCAGATATTTCTGAATTCAGCCCTTTTCTTGTAGCTGCTTGAGTTTCTGATAGAAAGTCTATTAAGTATTTAATTCCTGTCTCAGTTGAGAATAAGAATCTCATATTTAATTGATTTAGATCATACTTCTCTTTCAATCTGACTCTGAGACTATTGTATAATGCACAGTGCATTACAATATGCTCAGGATTCTCATTTGCATTGCAGAATGAGCATTCTATTGAATCAAATCTATCATCAAATCTTTGTATATAAGATTTGAAATAGCCATGTCCTAATTTCAGCTGTATTATAGATGAGAATATTTTCTTTTTACATTTAATTGAACAAGATTTCCACTTGGGTTTTGTTTCAAATCTTGAATAATGTATACTCTTCTTTTGTTTCTGCCAGCTTTCATTCCACTTGTCTAAACAAGATTCTTTTATTTTTCTCTTTATAAAAGACCAGGACACAATTTTTTGAACAGATCTGCTTAATTCTGAACCTTTTTTTGCAGCTGAATCAGCCAATTCATTACCATGAATATTCATATGAGCAGGAACCCAGTGCAGATGAATTATCAGCTTTGATATTCTTCTCTTTTGAATTTTTAAAATGGAGTTTAAGATCAGTTCAAGATTCATTTGATCATTATGAATCTGACTATTTCTAAGTCTTTTTAAAGCAGCTTAACTATCAGAGAATATTCATGTCTCTTTCAAACTATTTTCTCTTTTATGAGATTTTATTTCAATAAGTTTGAAAGCTTTCACTATTGCAAATAATTCAGCATCAAAGACTTCAGATTCACAGCCTAAATTCCAGAAATCTGAGATAAAATTAATATTATCTTCAGTATAAGCAATGCCTGCACCTAATCTATTCAGATTCTCATTTTTTAAGTCATCTGAATAAATCAGAATAGAGTCTTTTATATTGATTGTAGAAATTCTCTTCAAATGCTGTTCATATTCTTTCTCTTTAGATAGTTCACTTATTTGTAAGTCTATAAGAGATTCAAGCTTTTCTCTCCAGGGAGATAACTTCTCATGATCAACTCTTTCAACATTTAAAGAAGAAAATTGATTTTTAATCAGTGAGCATAGTCTGTACAGTTGAGAAGGCATTTTCTTTGAAGAATTATTTTCATTCCAATCAAGAAATCTATTTCAATCCAGTTCATTTCCAGAGTTAACTGATGGAAATGAGGAAGAGACTCTTTCTCTGATTATATGATTTGAGCTCATCTTTATAACTCTCAGAGCATAGTTCATACAGGCCTTTTCAAATCTAATAGCAGAAGGGGGAATTGAAGCTTCAATTTCCATTGCTTTAATAGGAGATGATTTGAATGCTTCCAGAATTCTTCTCAAAGCTCTGTTTTGCAGACTTTGAAAGAGTTCAGTGAAATTTCCTTGATTATTCCATCAAACTTGAACTTCATAATCAGCTACTGAGGTAATACAGACTATATATAACTGTCTTTTCTTTTTACATTTAATTGAACAAGATTTTCACTTTGATTTTATCTCAAATCTTGAATAATGTATGATCTTCTTTTGTTTCTGCCAGCTTTCATTTCACTTGTTTAAACAAGATTCTTTTATCTTTCTCTTTATGAAAGATCAGAACACTGTTTTTTGAATAGATCTGCTTAATTCTGAATTATTTTTTGCAGCTGAATCAGCCAATTCATTACCATGAATATTCATATGAGCAGGAACTCAATGCAGATGAATTATCAGTTTTAATATTCTTTTCTTTTGAATTTTCAAAACAGAGTTTAAAATCAGTTCAAGATTCATTTGATCATTATGAATCTGACTATTTCTAAGTCTTTTTAAAGCAGCTTGACTATCAGAGAATATTCATATCTCTTTCAAACTATTTTCTCTTTTATGAGATTTTATTTCAATGAGTTTGAAAGCTTTCACTATTGCAAATAGTTCAGCATCAAAGACTTCAGATTCACAGCCTAAATTTCAGAAATCTGAGATAAAATTAATATTATCTGAAGTATAAGTAATGTCTGTGTCTAATCTATTCAAATTCTCATTTTTTGAGTCATCTGAGTAAATCAGAATAGAGTCTTTTATATTGATTGTAGAGATCTTCTTCAAATACTGTTCATATTCTCTCTCTTTAGATAGTTCACTTATTTGTAAGTCTATGAGAGATTCCAGCTTTTCTCTTCAGAGAGATATCTTCTCATGATCAATTTTCTCAACATTTAATGAAGAAAATTGATTTTTAATAAGTGAACATAGTCTATACAGTTGAGAGGACATTTTCTTTAAAGCATTATTCTCATTTCAATCAAGAAATCTATTTCAATTCAGTTCATTTCCTGAGTTAACTGATGAAAATGAAGAAGAGACTCTTTCTCTGATTATATGATTTGAGCTCATCTTCATGACTCTCAGAGCATAGTTCATACAGGCCTTTTCAAATCAAATATTAGAAGGTGGAATTGAAGCTTCAATTTTCATTGCTTTAATAGAAGATGATTTGAATGCTTCCAGAATTCTTATTATTATTATTATTATTATTATTATTCTTCCATTATACTCATATGCAAGCAGAGCTTATGATGAGTCCTTGTGTGATGTTAAATACAGGTTAAGTGTTGATTATACAGGAGGAAATACAGGTGTTGAGACCACGCCAAGATAACAAGAACATAGGAAAATACAAAGGAGTGACAATTAGATACATGTGATAATAACTTCCCAGCCCAGGAACATAGAGTGATTCATTGGAGCGATTTGTACATCTCTGTATTTATTAGAAACCTGAGGTGCTTGAGTTCCAGATTTAATGTATCCCCTGCGGGTTTCGAACCCACGCGCCTTGATTTCCCATGCCAAGGCACTACTGAGTGGCTGCATTAACCATTCAGTCATTAGGGCTTCCAGAATTCTTCTCAAAGCTCTGTTTTATAGACTTTGAAAGAGTTCAGTGAAATTATCTTCATTGTTCTATCAAACTTGAACTTCATAATCAGCTACTGAGATAATACAGACTATGTATAACTGTCTCATAGCCTGAAAGAATAGACCTCTCTTAGTATTTGATAGTCTGATTATACTATTCAGTAGTCTCTCTGTCTTGATGATTCTTTGATGAATATGATATTTAAAATTCAACTTGAAGTTTAATCATACTTCTAGTCATTTGACATTCAAACTGAGTTTAATATCTTTATTCAAAAGAGTTAGACTTAATTCTTTCTCATTAAATCTGGAAAAAAAGTGAATTAACTCAGTTTTATTCATATTAAATTGAATTGAATTGATA